AAGAACCCTCAAAGCATTCAAAAGCAATTCACTTCTTGGCTTTGGAATGAATCCCTTCTGCACTTATTCCAACAGGAAGTTCATCTACATAAACGATGACCTTGACCACACCCAAAGCACTGCTCAGCAAGTGCAAACAAAGTTGGTGAAATTTTACCAATCCAAGTTTCCGCGGCTGTCCCAGTTTGATCTCCCCAAAGGCACGTCCAACAGGTTCCTGCACATGGATGAGCATCTTTAAGGGATTGGGTTCGGTGTATCACGGTAGATTATGGTCATACCTGACATGTTCCTACAAATTAAATCAATGTGTGCAAGAGGAATTGCTAATTCTGTTGGTCCACCAATTATTTGTGACAGATGAAAACTGTCAGTTTCCTGTTTAAATAGCTTTCTCAAGGACTTGATTTCCCAATTCACATTCACACCTCCAATCACTATCATCTCTCTATGAAATGTTGAATTATGCAAGATATCAAAAAACTGCAAACGTGCACATGGGCGCGCGTGTATCTAGCATTAAGGTCCCAGTCGATCAAGGTCGGTGGCACGGATGTGACCCAACTGAGGGACTTTCGGGTGTGCCAAAGAGCAGCTGAGGGAGGAACAAGGACCGCTGGCCAAAGTCAACAGATTTGGACGACTTGGGTGTGAAGGCCAGTCGGCCACCGTGCCACCCTCGACTCGTTCCTCTGTCTAATGTCCAACAAATCATGTTCATCAAGATAATAATTGTTGGAAAAAAAAAAAAAACCTCATCACTGATTTTCAATTAAAGAAACATTTAAAGGAGAGTTGCTGAAAACTTACCATCGTGACAGTGCTCTAATTGAAATGTTATTATGTATTGTCTCTTCTGGAGTGATATTTCGAATTGTCATATTCAAATGTCTTCAAATCACCAACGCCCGAAGGCTATTGTTATCATATTTTTGAACACCCCTTCATTTGCCGTTTTATCTTGTTTAACAAGTAGAAACAATTGTGCGGGTGTGACTGCTGTACACAATGTGTGAAAAATGTCTGAATTCAAACCGACGATGTCATCTCAATATACGTCAGCGCCTGATGTGAGCCCCCATACATGCAGGTTGTGTAAGAGTGGAGTCGGAACCGGTCCGACCGGTTTCAAGAGGTTTTTGGATTTCCCCAATGTATGTAGATGCAGTAATTGTACATCACTCCATTGCAGGTGCAAATTAATCTTGGAAAGGTGTGTCAAGTTCCTGTCTCACGTTGTGTTTCAGGGGCGCCCGCGAGTGACAGAGAACCAGGTAACAACCCTGCCACAAACAGCAGCCACAAACAGCACAACCCATCGGCGGTTTCACAGGTCGGGAAGGGGTGTCTGCTGCCACCTTCACCAAATGCCTTGCTATCCCAGTTGCCACCACTATCGTTGGCCGTGAATCTATCAATACGAAATGTTTATTTAAAAAAAAAAAATCCTTATATTTTCTCCGAAGTGTGCATAAAAAGTATGTTGTGGCAGTCGAAAAGAGCACACACGATTGACTGTAAACACGTCTTCATTCCACGACTGCCAACAGTGGATCTGAACAATTACAACTTTGCGCCAAAAACATTCACATAACCACACCCCCTACTGTATGCCTGCTGGGTGAGAAGCATGGTCCTAGTGTCCGCCACAATAATAAGAATTCACTCCCAGTCAGTCGATGCCCCGCCCCCCCGACCCCCGCTTTTGAGAAGAAATGGTTGCTTCCTACTGAGTCACCCATTTAAAAAAAAAACAGAGATTGCTCTAATTTTAATATGTTCAACGGGTCTGTCAAGTGTGACAACTTAAGTGAAAGTTAGTGTGTCGCAGTGTCTTTTGGAGTTAAATGAGGCGCTGTGGCAGGTGTAACGTAATCCAACAATATTCCACGTTTCATAGGTACCAGTTAAATGCAAAAAAAAAAATGATGGATTACTGTATTTATCTATTTTTATACGTATTCCTTGACTCTGGAATTTCTTTCACTAGTTCGCTATCGCCGTGGATAAAAGCTTCATTGTATTCATTTATGATAAGGGGTATTTTATCAGTCACAATATTTTTATCCTCTCTAAAATGTTCTCGATATTTCATTTTTCTTCAAGACATCATTTATTCTAGAATTTCAAATGTCTTGTACGTTCTGAATGTGGTGGTCATACATAGTATGCTAATATTGTCTTTTGCTTTTTCCTATAATATTTACTTGTTTATTTTTATACCTCTTATCATTAAGTTGAGCAGCTTTTGCTGTTTAGAAAACGTCTGTATGGCAAGCTTTCCTTCTTCCGTGCATTCTCGACGCCCTGTGTCCTCCATGGCTTATTCAAGCCTTGATAATTCCTGGTCATTCTTCTCGATGGACATTTGTCGTACAGTGAAGTGAAAAGTGACGAAAAAATGGTTGCTAGGAGAGATTTGGATCTTCATTTGAGTACGTAAAGCAAAGTTAAATAAATGACTCGACACACAGGGAAGATTGTCTTTCTGATCGGCGGAAGAGAATCTCTCAAAGCGAATGATGGCGGTTGCTTCGTGATCACTCTTAAGAGTTCCTTGTCCTCCCGCCGGACTTTTATTGTTCATATATGCAAAATACAAGAAAAACACTGCTCCCGACATTTGCATACGCCCCCGGTCCGGCCCCTCGGTAGTGATCTGATTACCTTGGTTTAAGCTTTGAAACACAGATACATTGACACCTTTCAGTCTGGTCTATAACGAACCAGCAAGTTGCAGACTTCGCAGGTGACAAATGTCCGCCTGGGCGCGACACCCATTCCCAAACTGTCTTTTGATGTTCTACAACACTTCGTTTATTGTTTATTCCCACTTTCACTTTGTGACCGAGTCTAGCCTTCTTCCATCTGTCCACCCCCTTGTTTTAACGTGATTACTGTGGACTTCAAAAAGCCCCCCTCCCAAGCGGCCGACACCTTTGCGCCCAGGCATTTGTGGGTGCTGGACATGCACCCAAACGTCTTGACATGCCCAAATTAAATGAAACTTTAAACATGATACAATTTTGCTCGTAGATTTCTCTATCAATCTCAGACCAGTTTTGATTTTTCTTAATCTTTAAGGCAGCAAGAGCACGTTATTATCCAGGTCTCAATGTATTTATTCATGTGAAATGGTGGTTGTTGATACCAAGCCTTGGTAAGGTCATCCGAAATCAACGTGTGAGGTCACTGCCACTTTCCACTGACATCTGGCCACCCTATTTGCCTTTTTGTGACAAGAATCAACGGTGTACCAGGCAGAACGGGACAACCACACCACGGAAGGTGCAGCAATCATGCTGGACTGCAGCTGTGACTCATGGATGAGCAACGACCAGGCACCGCGCTCGGCATACGCTGATCACACACTGCGCGTCGGGCACTAACAGCCTGGGGGAGCACCCAAAAAAAAAAAAATCAAGCTTGTAAAAACATTTAATTATTGGAATTATAATAATAACAGTAATAACATATGCAATATCATATGTATAAGCAAGGCTTGTAAAGTATGTTAACAAATATATGTAATACAAAATTCATGTAGACTGTGTGAAAAAATATTAATCTCCTGAGCAGACCTTTCGTCAGTCTACCTTTAGTGCCCCGCCACCCCTCTCTCTTTCGTTCATGATTAGTTTGTT